GGACCCGGATTGTTGGGGGCAATAGTCTGACTCTGTAAACTGCTTAGAGAGGGCTGAAAGCCCTATGAAGCGGTATATAAGTCTAACTGCTATTGCTATTGCTTGGACACCCTGACAGTTCATAAACTACAGATAGTCTTTGACTTGCGACCACAATTGACACCAGAATTTCCATCATTAAACAAGGCAATTGCTAAGTGAATCATGCTGGATTTTGCTACCATGGTTGTTAAGTAAATCACTGCCATCATTAAGTGAATCCGGCTCCCCCACTTGACTTTGCATGTCGGAATCCACTTAGGAAGGTTGCAAATGACAATCAGAAAAATCCAGGACACTGCAAACACCGTAAATTCAGGCTGGGGGAATCCTCCTCCAAATCTGGGAATGGTGCTATGAAGAAATTCTGTTTTTTGTTGCAGAGTTCGCTGTCCTGGTGGAAGTTCGTCTGGCCACACGGTCAAGCCTTTATCCCGTCCTTTTTGACGAAGACCAGCCCCTCAGTAAATACGAGTTTGTGGTTACTAGCGGTAGCCCTCTGGCAGCAGACAGAGGTGAGCCATGCGTGTTAAGTTCAAGCCATTTTGAGTAGAGAGTCACAACACTGTCCAATCTGTAATTCATAACCAAAAAGAGTTGTGTCATGGATTTTTGAAAAGGAACATACTTTTGTTACTTAGCTGGAAATGCAGAAGAAAAAAGAAAGACGAGTGTCTCAACCCGTGCAGGAGTGATTTAAAAAATAACAATAGAAAAACTGGATTCACATTCTTCTTCCCATCTGCAGTTGGTCCGACCATCCTGAACAAGATTGAAGCTGCTCTGATGAATCAGAACCTCTCGGTCGATGTGGTGGACCAGTGCCTCATTTGCCTGAAGGAGGAGTGGATGAAGTAAGGTGGACTTTTGGGTTGAGAAGTAGTTGGTCTTCTAGAGTTCATTCTTTCATATGCTTCCTTTAAGGAAGGGAGGAGTGCCGTGTGATCTTCAGAAATTTCATTTTTGAAAGCGCGGGTCATGGTCTGTAATTATTATTATTATTATTATACAATTGTATCACAGTGGCCAGTTGTTTCGCCGGATTTGGCATTGGTTACTAGTCGGGCCCCACCCAGGNTCACTGTCCTAACCCCTGGCTGGGTAATTCTGGGAGTTGAAGGCCAGACATCTTCAAGTTGCCAAGGTTGAGAATCACTGTCCTAACCCCTGGCTGGGTAATTCTGGGAGTTGAAGGCCAGACATCTTCAAGTTGCCAAGGTTGAGAATCACTGTCCTAACCCCTGGCTGGGTAATTCTGGGAGTTGAAGGCCAGACATCTTCAAGTTGCCAAGGTTGAGAATCACTGTCCTAACCCCTGCTGGGGAATTCTGGGAGTTGAAGTCCGGACATCTTCAAGTTGCCATGGTTGAGAAACACTGGTTTAATCAATATTTTTATTTTTGCTATTTCCATTTTTTTTTGCCATGCTTGGAACAGTTCAGCAACATATACTTATCAGCAACTGTTACATTTGTGAGGAAGCCAGCGTCCATGACTTGCAATAAAATCACACTTATGTAGTCATTCTGAAGGCCACCTCCATCTCCATCTACCAAAAAAACCTTCATTACAGCATACCAAGGGTGGTGCAAAAATAGTTTATTACGATATAATTTTATGTATAGTTAAGTAATTATATTTACAAAATCATCAGCTACATCCATGGGAACCCTAGCATGTCACACAAGGTTTGTAAGGAATAAATACTGTGACCGAAGTGATACTTCTACAGTGAACAGCTGAAGAGAGAACTGGCTCCCTTAAAAGCATGAAAAAAAAAAACCACCATTCAGAACCTCACTAGATTCAAAACACGTTAGTTGAGAGCAAAAGAGGCTTCATTGTTCAGCAGCGAAGGTTGCTGGGACTTCCAGGAGTCCCCTTGGTTGGAGTGGACTCCTAATTCACAGGGCGCCACCTGCTCTCCAAAGGGACTTGCCTTCTTACACCCTAAATTTTGCTGGAAGGTGTGGATTAGAGCAGCGTTTCTCAACCTTGGGAACTTGAAGATGGGTGGACCAACTCCTAGAATTCTTAACAAGGCCGAGAAAGACTGAATTAGTCATTCCCACACTCAGTTCTCAGATGACCTGGTGATCCAGTCAAGCCATAGTCAACTTGGTGATGAAGCTCATGTGGGCCTTAAGACAGACAGACGTGGTGGCCTCAGAAACCCGAAGTAAGGCGCTCACGAGGATGGGCCTCCTTGCAGTCTTCGTGCACAACCTCCCACAGGTTCATGTGGTAGGAACTGGTCGGCTGGCTCTTTGGCAGCTCAGCGACAGGATGTAGACGTTTACCTGTGGTGGTTTCTCATACTGAAAGTAGCGATGGTGTTATTCCATTGAAAGAAGGAATTGACGCCTACCGTAATTCTCACCACCCGGATGGACTTCCACTGCAAATTTTATTGGCTTATCTGGAGTTATGGCATAGCTAATTCTACGGCAAACCCAAGATCTTTCCCTTAGGTACTTTAGGAATATTTCTCAGCTCTTGTGGTCGGTCACGGGCTCGAATTCTACCAGCCAGAGTATTCTTCCCCTCTGAAGCTCCGTTGTGATGTACGAGAGCGTAACTGCAAAGGGAGATATCAAAACTACAGCAGCTTAATTCTGCCATGCTGTGACCACAAGACAGCATAGCGTAATTCAAACGTAAGGACAGTGAGAAGCAACATTACTTCATTTCTTCGCAGAGCTGCTTGGTTTAATCTGCCACAGGGTTAACATGCAACAACATGGTGTACCTTTGATGACTTTTAAGAGATGCTACTATCACCATTTCTCAGTGAACATGCAGTGAATCTTCAATTTATTGGACCTTCAGATTGATGCATTCGGATTTCGAATGCCTCGGACAAAATCCATCGGCCGCCGTGTAGGCATACATACAATCCTATTCGTTATTCAACGGACATTCAGGTCTAAAAAACACCTTCCTACGAGTCCATTAAACTGAGTTTACTGCAACATAATTGCATAGCCCGGGTCACTTGCGCCACTGTCCGTTACAAGCTTACTGAAGTGAATGAGGAAGAAAACTATCGTCGTAGAGCAATTAGGTTTTAAAACACTGTACATATTTTTTTTTTCTTTGGAGAGGCGTTTCCAAAACTAAAAAGGATCAGAGAAATTTAAAAATATATTTATAGCATTCAAACCAACCAACATTCTGTAAGGGAACAAAGCAGGATTTCAGGTTACACTAACTTCCTTTTCCCCCAAGTCCAAAGGAAATCCGTATTAGAACAAGATTAAAAAAAGAAACCCCATAAAACCCTCCGCGAGTTTTTGCATAATAAATATTTACATGGCGTGCTTCGAATACTATACAGGTCTTAAATTATTTTTAGAGAATAACAAAGCTTTAAAAAATTGGGGAGGGGGGAGGGGGGTTACCAAAGGAAAGAAGCGTGGGTGTGCTCAAAGTGTTCACAACGAAGTACGGCATATGAACCATTGCAATGGAGGAAAAAGAAGTCCAGTGGGAGTCTAATCAAGTATATTGTCATTACAAAAAGCAACATTTTCCCCGCTTCCCCCCCCCCCTTAAACACCACACAGGGGCCGCTTGAAGGCAGCCCCTGTCATAGGAATCACAGCCCGCTCGGATTCCTGGATCAGCACAAGCGATCCTCCTTTTGTTTCTTAGCAGGAAGGAAGGAAAGCAAAACGGCATTAAGAAAAGACAAAAATCCTGCTTTGAAACAAGTGGGAGGGGGGAGAAAAGGAGAGACAAAATCGGCCATGGACCACATCCCCAAAGCCGTATTTCAGGTGTGTGTGTGCACGGTACCTGTGCTAAACCTCCATCAAGAGTACACATTTTTCTTAAATCTCCGGAGTACAGAATGGGGTGAAAATGCTCCAACCTGCCTCCGAACAAGCCTTTTCAAGAGCCGTTCAAGAAACACGCTGTCCCAAACGCTCCCGGGGATTGGTTGCGTAGGGACGTCCCCTTTGCTCGTAGCGGTAGAGTCAGTTTTGTGCGAAGGGAGGTGGGGTGCCTTTCCCCGCCTTCCAGCCATCGCTTTCCATGTTTTAAGAAACCGCCTCGGAATCAGGACGTTATTGAGAAAGGGACAGGATGGACTGCAGGGATTTTCCCCAGAGCCAACGGATTGCTATCGAGTTGCAGAAAAAATCATGGAAGAAAAATTAAATTCCTCAACCGTGGCAACTTGGTGATGTCCGGTCTCCAAATCCCAGAATTCCCCATCCAGCAGAGCTTAAGAATCCTGGGAGTTGAAGTCCAGATAATTTTAAATTGCCAAGGTTGAAAAAACATGGTTCTATCCAGGTCAGCTTTGTCTGTGTGAAGGAGATAGGAGGCCTGCAAAGACCATTTCGGGGGCAGATGCCACGACCGCGTCCCCTTCAGCTGCCCGAGATGCCCTCCCAATGCCACCATTCACACATCAATCTTTGGGGCTGCCATACCTGTTTGAAATGCACTTCTATACCCTCGACCAACAGTTTGCAGTTAGATAGGAAAAAACTGCTCAGAGTGAGGAGAAGCCTTGAAGAAGAAAAGCCTCACCTCTAAAGTAAAAAATAGGAAGAGCTCCTTAGTCCGAGCCATTCAGGGCAGCTACGTTTTGCAAACTGCCATTGTGGCACGTCAAATGCAACCAGGCGCCTGAAATGCATACCTTCTCCTCTGCCCAGCTGCCTTTAAGGTAGTGCATGCTAAGGTATCCTTTTGCTTCAGGTCTACCTCTAGGAGACAAGTGATCTCATAAGGTGGGGTGGGGTGTTTTTTTTTTGGAACCACTTATTTCCTTGCGAGGCGTCTAAAAATTCTAAAACCCGCATGCAGAGAAAATAAATGGACCAACCCTCGCTGAGATTAGCAAGAGTTCACACCGTTGGGCTTGTCCCAAAGTTAGACAGTTGCAGCAGAAATTCAACCCAGTAAGAGCAAAAACTCCCATCTTAAGGGACCTCAAGGTTCGTAGAATTGGGCTGGAGCACCCTAATCACCTACAATGTTTTGGGAGACAGAAACAAGGCTTGTTCATAATGCTGGTGGAGGTGTTAATCTTGAAATTTTAAGCACCCACTTCCAAGGGGTTCTGTTGGTCGGGTTTGGCCAAAGACATTTTAATCCATCCCAGGGCCTTTCTTGGGAAGGCTGTGTACATTCTGGATCCCAGCGCATCAAAGAATCTATTCATCACATTTTTGGGGGGGTGGGTGGGCCCAAAATATGGAAGGGGTAATCGAAAGTCCTGCTTCATTTCAAGAGGATGAAAGCACTAAAGCTGCTTTGGGATCATGGTTAGCCTGGTCTTTGAAGGACACTTTTAACTGGGCTTAGCTCCCAACCCGTTTTCAGGTGTTCCTTTGCAACGGAATATCCCTCACACAGACACTGAATGGTGCAATCAGGCCCAAATAGATTCTCCAAAACAGATATACCGGTAATCCATTTTACTTTCTTTCTTTTTTTTAAAGTCACCTTTAAGAAGCAAGGATCTGCACTTTAGGATCTCCATCCTCATCAGACGAGAGAAATGTCCTGAAATGTCTCTCGGATGGATGCCCAAAACCCACCAAAAGACTAGGAGAAAAAGTTAACCCAACTGGAAGAGGACAATGGTTGCTAGTGATTTTAAGAGCTATGTTTTCCCAAGATCCTGGCTAAGGTGGAATCCGCCACCCCTTAACCGCTGGCTGAGTAAAATAAATTCAGAAGATCGCTAAGCTGCACAAAGGACTGGATCTCTGCAAACCACACAATAGATCAAGGACAGTCCAGACTGATTTCTTCCCCCCCCTTGTGTTTCTCAAGCATCCAGGGGCGTTGGGGGGGGGGGCTTGCTTGGCCAAACCAAATTTGTTTCAGAGTGGCTCAAAATATGCGCCTAAGTGCTGTGTTACTCTTCAACACTGGTGGAACTAAGCTGGAGGTGTATCCCCCCTTTCCCAGGGCCCTGTTGTGATACCAACACATCAGTAAAACAGGGCTAGCTTATTATAGGCTGTTGAGCCTTAATACTGACACTCAATGCAGTGGATATACACTAGGAAGGAGATAAATATATATATATATATATTTAAGGGAGAAAAATCTTCAACCTCCTCCTGCATTCTTGCCCAAAGTAAGGACTTTTCCATTCAGAACATGCTTAATCCAGTATTTCTCAACCTCATCGAGTTTAAGATGCCTGGACGTCTCCTCCCAGAATTCCCCGTTGCTGGCTGAGGAATTCTGGGAGCAGAAGTCCACGCATCTTAAACTTGCTAAGGTTGAGAAACAATGATTTCATCCCTTCGATGGTGGACAGAAAAAAAGAAGAAGTCTGGAATTGCTCAGTCCATTCATCCGGAGCAGCTCTAGAAAAATTCCCGCTCCCGGCCAAGCGAAGCGTAGTCATAAAAAAAGATGAAAATGGTGAGGGGGGAAAAAGGAGAAGGATGCTCGTGTCGTGATGCCTCAAGCTAGGCGGTGCACATGGCCAAGCCGGAAACGAAGGAGAACATTAGTCTTTCTTCAACTCCTTGGATTCAAAGAGCTTCAGGCGCTCCTGCACCGTCAGACCTTCCTTTAGACTCTGGAGGGGAGAGAAGGAAAAAAGGAAAGCATGAAAGGCCGCTCGGGTGGAATGGGCCAAATCCAACATGGAGATGTTCAGGCAGAGGAGATAAAATAGTGAGAGACAAAATCCTCAGGCTTAACATCATGCGGAAGACAGAAAAAGTACCATTATGGAGAAAGGTTACTGGAGAATTGGTGCCCGATGGAGGAAGAGCGAGATGACCAAAGGCGCAGCTAACTAGCGTGACTCCCTAGAGATTCTCTGAAGTATCTCCAGATGCCTTCAACTCCATAAGACCTACAAAATTGTCCTTTCCCTATAATATATTTGCTCCAAGAGAGTTTCCTAATGTCACTCTGGGACAACATAGTAACACTTTATAAAGGATGGTGTCTCTGGGACTACCGAAGGTATGTCCACATTTTTTTCCCCCTAAGGAACCAAGACCCTGGCTTCTTAACTCATGCCATACCCCTGTTATGAATCAGAGAAGAACAGGGTTTTGATTTGATTGCACAAGGTCAAAACCAAAAATTCCCATGCTGTGTGTCAATTAAGACAGGAAAATCAGCAAAACCCCCAGATAGAGGACTTTTCTTCAAGTTTTTCCCATTTCTTTCCTTCCTTCCTTCTTTCTTTCTTTCTTTCTTTCTTTCTTTCTTTCTTTCTTTCTTTCTTTCTTTCTTTCTTTCTTTCTTTCTTTCTTTCTTCTTCCTTACTTTGTATTAGTTGGTGTTATTAGTTTTCATCTTCTTAAAGTTTCAATTAAAATTATACATATACATATATGCACAGATATATATGTAATTTTATATTACATTATGTATATGAATACACGCCCAGATAGAGAGATGCAATGATTTGGGCCACCATATCTAATACAAAGTAAGG